AGACCTCAGGATATGCTTATCTTGCTTGAGCAAATGGTAGCTATCTCTTTGTTTCATAGGGACCCTTAATTGTTAATTATTGACACATTGGCCAGTGGGGCAATCTGTTTCCTCCATGAGCCACTTAGGAGAGCGGCCATCTGGGAATTCTTGGTACCCAATTATCTTATGGCCTTGTAAGTTGGTAAATTCCAGGCCCTAAGTCATAGTAGTGGCCTTAGTTTCTGGGTTAGGCTGCCCTACATTCAGTTTGGAGAGTTTCCTTATCTGGGCTATATTTCTTTGCTAATTTTTAAGTCTTTCAGAATGTTCTAAAGTAGACTGGTATCATTACTTTCATTCAGATGTTGAATATGAGAATAAATAATCACAAAAAAAAGGAAAAAGAAAAAAAGACAGGTGGTGGTGGCTCATATCTTTAATCCCAGAACTCTGGAGGCAGTGGCAGATGGATCTCTGTGAGTTCGAGGCCAGCTACAGAGGGAGTTTCAGGACAGGCTCCACAGCTACACAGAGAAACCCTGTCTCGAAAAACCAAAGACACGGGGTGGGGGGTGGGGAATAAGCATCTCCTTTGTATGTGGTGAGGGATACTATAGTCTGACTTTTCTGATAAAACTCAATGGTTAATTATATTACAATTTCTTTGAAATCTTTCACAAGAACAAAGATGCTATGATTCCTTGAAAAACTATGTTCTAGATGCACATAAAGACATCTTATCTCTTTAAAAACTAGGAGCAGATGTCTCAAGTGTTAGATGCCATGTTTGAAAAATTGGTCAAAGAAGGGGAACATGTAATTGATCAAGGTGATGATGGTGACAACTTTTACGTCATTGACAGGTAAGTTTTATCCAGTTCTACTACTGAAGTTAAAAAACCTGTTAAGTAAAATCTCCGTATTCACTGTGACAGCCAATAGGTAAATCTGATGCTTTTGGTTCCCCTTCACTCTTACTACTCTCTAATGGGCACTGCAAATGTCTGGTGAAAATACACAATAAAGCCATGCTAGGTCATGCAAGGAGCCATAGTTTATAGAAGAAGTGAATCTTTAAGTCTTAGTTATTAATGTGCCTTGATTTGCTAACTTCTATTTGGTAGGTAGAAAGTAATATTGCCATGTGGTAGATACCTATTACAGTGAGAATAGGAGTAAGATATTGTGTGGATGCCTGGCAGTGGTGGCACATGCCCTTAATCCCAGCCCTTGGGAAGCAGAGGCAGGAGGATCCCTGTGAGTTCGAGGGCAGCCTGTTCTACAGAAAGAATGCCAAGACAGCCAGAGCTACACAAAGAAACCCTGTTTTGAAAAACAAAAACAAACAAACAACAACAACAAAAGACATGGCATGGAAGTATCTAAGCGGTGGTGTAGTTCACTTGGTATTGCTATGTTTTTTAAAAAATTATTAACTATGAAAGAGCTCAGGTACTCTAGAAGGCGTAAGGGAAGGAGGAATCCTTTTTTTCTGCTGTTTTACATCCTTTAGTTAGGAGAGTGAGCAGCTCATGTCTCCTTACAGAAACTGTGTAGTATTTTACTTGTGCTTTAAAATGTTTCAGGTTTTTGGTTTTGGGGGGTGAGGGGTGGGGCGTGGGGTGAGACAAGATTTTGCTATGTAGCCCTGGCTGGCCTGGTACTTGATATGTAGACCAGGCTGGCCTTGGACTCATAGAAAATACTTCATTAAACAGAAAGTATGTGCACTTATTTGTATTGACAATCAAATTGTCAATTTGAATTGGCAATTTGGAAATCTTAAACTGTGTTTTACTTTGTTGGAGAACAGTATGGCCTGCATGATCAACAGATGAACCTCAGACCATACTTTAGTGCATGCTGGGCCAGGTATTTCTTCACCTTTGTAGAGTGAAGCAGAGTTCACCAGGCAGTCCGTGTCCCTAAGCTGTCCAGTTTTGTGTCTGTCTGATCTACTGATACAGTTTTGCTCCACAGGATAGAATTGTGGTCAGCTGGTAATTAGACCTCTTCCGTCCCCTTTGGTCCCCTTTCCTAACCTTGGCCCTGTTTTCTTTCATATATGAGCTGTGTATGCCTTTCACTCATCGGGTTTGCTGATTTCTCTGTCCTTGTCCTGGTGCATGAGTAGCCTATTGCTGAGTCTCTAACTAGGATTAGGGATAAAGCTAAGCAGGGATGTACTCCCTTGTATAAGGCAGAGTCACAATTCTGGTGTTAAAACAGCTTTCACCAACAAAACAGCTTATAAACACGCTCAAGTTTTTTCATTAAATTGTAGGTGAGAAGCCTAGTTTTGGTCCAGCATTGATCTTCCTTTCAGTAGATAGTTTTAACTACAAAACCTGCCTTGCATGTGAACATAGTGCATTGTCTTTCAGTTAGATCCTAGTCATCCACTGGCAGATGAAACACTCTGGTTCACAGAGGTGGCAGGGCTTGATTGAGGTCACCCAGATAGTCAGTGCATCTGATCCACAGCCAGGTCCTCATGCTCATTGCTCTGGCCTGCACCGCCTGAAGCCTCACGATGTCAGGGAGGGAATCTGTGTGAACAGCAGCCTGCCTGTCTAACAGACTTCCACTGATGACCCCCAGCTGGGCTGGTAGCATGTTTACTCTTCCCAGTACATTTTGTTATTCATTTTATCCTATTCAGAATGATAAATCCCAAAAAGACTGTCAGTGACAAAATACAAGGGGAATAAATGGCAGATTTAAAAATAATAGTTTAAAAATTATTATCCATGGAACAAATTCTAGGATGTATCCTCATATGCCTCATTGTATCCATGAATTATATTAAAAAGACAATTTTCTTCTGTATTTACATGTGTTTTTACTACTTGATGATCCTTTTCTAATCCTTAAAAGTTGTCCCCTTTTTTGCCACTGCCACATCTTTTTTCTAGGATTTAACCAACAGGACATAGACAAGGAACGTCTCTTGTCTGCCTGACAGGTGTGCCAGCCATCCTTAAACCATGCTTTCTGTTGAAGTACGGTGTGTGGGAAGCTGGTCCAGAGCAGAAGCGATAGATAGCTTGTGAGTGTAGGATCTGCCCCCCAACACGGGGACATGCACACGGAGTCTGTTTGTCTGTAGAAATCACCAAGTTGGCATGGGGACACTACAGGAAGGCCAGCCAGAGGCTTGGTCTGAAGGTCTGCCACTTCTTAATTGCAGTTTGGGGTTGACCTAGAGTAAAGGGTCAAGGAGGGCATGTTAAGGTTTTGTGGGCCAATGGGGTCTAATGATTCAATCCTGCTTGTAACTCAACCCAGCTGTGTGTGATAAATAAAGAAAAAAGATTGTTTTCTAATAAGACTTTTTTGGCAAACACTGGCAGCTAACTGGGGTGCCAGTTCCAGCTATAGTTTATTAAAGACTTGTCAGCAAATTGTTAGAGCTATATTCTTTGAAAAGGTAGCCACTTTCTTCTACTCCCAAAAGCAGTATAACTTGCTGTTATCAGAGGGCACAGCAGGCAGCAGGAAATCAGAGTGTACAGGGCTCTTCTCTGCATTAACGCCTCATTGTAATGAAATGTCACCCGAATCTCTTTGTCTCTAATTTAATGTGAATTTGTGTATGTCCAACAGGGGTACATTTGATATTTATGTGAAATGTGATGGCGTTGGAAGATGCGTTGGTAACTACGATAATCGTGGGAGTTTTGGAGAACTGGCCTTAATGTACAATACACCCAGAGCAGCTACAATCACCGCTACCTCTCCTGGTGCTCTGTGGGGTTTGGTAAGTAAAATATTTGCTTGATCTAAATGTGTCCTTTTTTGCAAATTATTATGACAGCAGATAGGCGGATACCTGAAACTATATTTAACTTTTAATCAGTAGATGACTTAGGATTACGAGTCATTGCCATTTATTAACCATCTGCTAGATGCTGCACTGTTGGGCACAAAGACTGTGCTAAATCAAAGATTTATGTCCTGTCTCTCCCCAAGTCAGGAGCTTGAATATACTGGCCCTTAGAATGGCATCAGATCCAAACTGCTCATCTCTTATCCACACTTAAAAAACCATGAACCACAGCAGCTAGAGAGATGGCTCAGTCAGTAAGGTACCTGCTGCACAAGGAAGAGGATCTGAGTTCAGATTCCCAGAACCCACGAAAAAAGTCGGCACAGTGGCTTGTGCCTGTGACTGCAGCATAGGGGAGGGGGTATGGAGAAAAGCATCCCTGAAGCTCATTGGCTAGCCAGTCTAACCCAGTCAATGAAGTTGAGGTTCAGTAAGAGACCTTGTCTCAAAGGTGGGATGTAGCACGAATAATAAAAACACAGAGACAGATATTGGGGTTCAAGCTGAAGCAGCCAACCACTAGAGAGTTCTTCCCTGTACCAAGGCTCAGACCAAAAGGGGTGATCCTGTCCTCAGCGCGACTGCAGACTGGCTCCTGTCTCCTCCTGTCTTATATTCCTCTCTAGTGCTGATATTAAAGGCATGTACCACCACCACGCAGCCTCTATGGTTAACTTGTATGGCTGCTGGGATTAAAGGTGTGTGCCACTACTGCCTGGCTTGTATGGCTGACTAGTTGGTTAGCTTTGCACTCCAGTCGTCAGGCAAGCTTTATTTATTAGATTATAAACAAACTGTCACCACAACTGTCAGATAAATGAGTGGTTTTCAGAGTGAGCAACTGAAAGTTACAACTGGAAACTTGTTAGAAGCACACATGCTAGGCCCCTTCCAATTGATTCTGCCTCCTGCACTGAAAGGTCTTGGAGAAGGGGCCCAGCATTGGGAAGCCTTCGTTTGATGCCCTTGTTGATACAGTTTGACAAAGCACTGAAACAGTTTTCTTGATGGTGTCAGCTGATTGGTAATGTGTTTGCACTCCAGAGCAGCTATATGGAGAAAAATATCTGGTACCTGTGTTTTTCATCTGATAAACAAACAAACAAACAAAAAAATCTTGCCTCCATTCTACACAAATGTAATCACTTGCCTGGAAACCTTGAGATGTCCCCAATCCAGAACTCTTTGAGTGCCACAACTGTAAAATCCCATATATGTTACAGGTCAGTCAAGATGCAAGCACATTCCGAGTACTTATAGATGACCTTCCGACCATACATATGACATACACATGAACTATGAACTGAGTGTTTACACTTGAGACATGTTCCCATACTATTTTTGTTAGTTTTCAATATCTGGGTGGAGTGAGCATGAATGTGGTTATGTCTAAAATCTGAAATACTACTCATCTCAAGACAACAGTCCTCAGTCTCTATCTTTAAATAAATGATAGAAATTTTGTAAACCATTAGTTCATAGACATATTTGGCTGAGGGGCTTGAGAAGGGGTAGGAGCTCTTTTCACATGTGCAGGTCTGAACAACTGATTCTGGAAGGCTGCCCTGGGGATGCAGCTTGCAGTTCTGTGGGTCTAAGATGAGCTAGAGCTGCCTGTACTAGTCAGTTCCCAGGAGGTGTCTGCACTGCCTGGTGTCACGATTCACTGCAGGTGGTACTGATTGACAGGAGTGTTGGAAACACAAAAGCAGCACATCCCATGTTCTTGATATGTAGTTGTCAGGCTATTTCCCCAGGTCTTTGTAGAGGAGGTTGTTTGATTTTTCTCTCTTTGTTTTTGAAACAAGGTTTCTCTGCACAGTCCGGCTGTCCTGGAACTCAGAGATCCGCTTGCCCTTGTCTCCAGCATCTCCTGAGTGCTGGGGTTAAAGGATGGTCAGAATAAGGTTTTTTTGTTATTGTTGTTTTAAGATTTATTTATTTACTATGTATAGTTTTCTGCCTGCATGTATGTCTGCAGGACGGAAGAGGGCACCAGATCTTATTACTGATGGTTGTGAGCCACCTTGTGGTTGCTGGGAATTGAACTCAGGACCTCTGGAAGAGGAAGCAGCGCTCTTAACCACTGAGCCAGCTCTCCAGCCCCAGAAGAAGGTTTTTAACTGTCTGGTTTCAAAGGGGTAAAGAGTTGCAGAATGTACACATTACCTCGGCGTGTGACTCAGAAGCTGGTCTAGCTCATAAAAACATCTCACTCAAAGATGACAGATGCTTAAAATTTCTTTTTATTGGAGCCAAGCAGTTACTTTTTTAAAAGTTACCTTTTTAAAAGCCAGTTTTATGAGTTATGGCATAGAAACAGAGATTCTTTCATGTGGAAAGAAGCCCATCACCTAAGTGTGTTAAGGGTGCTCAAATCTGAGAGTCTGAAACCAACATAGAGGAGCCACATCAGAGCAGACCTGTGCAGGAAGTGTGATCCAGTCCTCACAGGGGTGGGTTAATCTTGTGTCTACCTATTTATTACAGAGGCTGTAACTAAAAATGGAGCCACCTCACTGGCGAAACAGGCAAGGGTCTGGGTGTCAGACAGTAAGGAGGCCTCCTCATGAATCCTCTGTTCAAGATCACACATTTTCAGATTTGCCCTGAGCACTGATAGTTTTAGCCCTGATGGTAGCATAACTAGCATGCAAAGGCTTGGCGTGTTCATGTGCACAGTTCTGAAGCTTGGAAGAAACATTTTCAGAGATTAAATTTTTTTTGGTAGCCTGCACATGTTAATATTTATAAAAATGGGTAGTTTCTGATACAGGTATAAATGGAGTATCTTTAAAAATTACAATAATTAACATACTTTCATTGTATTGAAACTTGCTTTTTAAGAGCGATTTGCATAACAATCCCTTCTGGGGAAAGTTAGCCAGAAAGGAGATTTTTAAGATGCACAGCCTGCAGCCCCATGGTTGTTAGTGAGGTGTAAAGAGAAGCACACTGCAGAGGGGCCTCACTCTGCACAGCCCTCTGCTGCTGTCAGCCTGGAGACTGGCTGGAGACTAAAGCAACGGGAATGGATGAATTTGAAACTGGATTTCCTGGGTTTATCAGGTCACAGTGGGTGTGAAATGGTAGGAGGTCATTAATAGTTCTTCCTGAGAGATAGAATTCATGATTTATTTCTAAATGGGTAAACTATTTCAGACCTTCTCTGTTTTAGTGAAAACAAAAAAGTCTGTCCATAAAATGTACCTACTTCCCAAACCCGACTATGTATGACAGTCACATGGTACACTTTTATAGATGTAAATTATTTAGCCAGATGTAGAGATTTTGAGTCACTCAAAGTTTTTGGTTTCAAAAATTACCTCAGCAAATTCTGATGTAGAGCCAAGCTTCAAAAGAGCTTAATGTTTTTGTGAATTAACTCATAAAATAGAATTTTATCACATGTACTTTCTCTTTTGTTTTGTTTTTTGATTTTTTTTTTTTTGAGACAGTTTTTCTGTGTAGCCCTCGCTGTCCTGGAACTTGCTCTGTAGATCAAGCTGGTTTCAAACTCAGAGAGATCTGCCTGCCTCTGCCTCCTGAGTGCTGGGACAGTGTGGCACCACCATCCAGCACAGCATACATTTACTTTTTATTTTGTGTGTATTTGGGGTCACTTGGGTCCTGCTAACTGAACTCAGGTCATTAGGCTTGGCAGCTGGTGTCTTTAACTGGTGAGCCATCTTGCTGGCCCAGGTACTCACTTTTTAAAACATTGGAAGTGCAAATCCAGAATACAGCTGCCATCATAGCAGTAATGGGAAACAGGATGTTTAACTTCTCAGTGTCTCATTCTCTCTGGCTGTTACCACAAACCACCACAAGCCCCCCACATGTACAAGCCCTCACATCCCACTGTTTTGGAGGCTAAGAACCATAAGAGCTTTTGGTGTCTAGGGTCAGTGATTATGGGACTATTTACTTAAGAATAAAAATATTTTATGAGAATTTTTGCAACATAAAATTTGGGAGGAAAAATAGCTTTTTGAGCTGCTATGTGTAAACATTTCTGTCATCCCTAAATTAAGTTCTGCCTTTTGGAGATCATATAAACATTAAAGAATTTAGACTGTAAACATGATGAAGTCTGGGCTAAGACCCAGTCAAGAATATAATTTCTCTGTACCTTCATTTTCAAAAAGGAGATTCTGGTAATTTGTGGGTATGAAAATAACCTAATAAGTATATTTTGTTGTTGTTGTTTTTGTGGTGTTTCAAGACAGAGTTTCCCTGTGTAGCCCTGGCTGTCTTGGAACTCACTCTGTAGACCAGGTTGGCCTCAAACTCAGAGATCACCTGCCTCTGCCTCCTGACTGCTGCAATTAAAGGTGTGCACGATCACCCAGCATAATTCTGTATTTTAAGAATGCTTACATTACCCTTTTTTCTTAACAAAATGGTTTACAAAGAATGTAAACAACTTATGATCTTGCCAATTACACTTTATAGCTCCCAGAGAGTTGGTGATACTGAGTAAAACTAACAAACAAACAAACAACAAAAAAAAATCATTCAGGCAATTTGAGTGGGCAAGTTTTGCCAGTAACATTCCTTATGTGAGCCAGTGAGCACCTCCAGATGAGTGAGGGACATTCACTTCATTTTTAAATTGTATTTGGAATAATTATTGCTGTGTACTAAGAACTTGACCCAAATAAAAATCACACACACACACAAAAAAAAGAATGCTTACATTATCAATTCTTTATGGATGACTTCTTTTCAACTAGTGTTTCTTTTGTTTTACTTCAGAGTATGTATAGTTCAGGAATATCACATTAAATTGTTTCTGTGACTGACTTAAAGAATGTACTCCAAGACTGTCCTGCTTTACTTTTTATAAAACTCAAGTCTACTTAATTGATTTTGCAACCCTGCCATCTACAGTAAGGGAATGGTATTGGCGTAATTTTTTTATAGCGTGACAGTGCCTCCATGTGGGCATAGAGCCCAATGTGCTGGTCAAAATCTCTATGTCTAAAGCAGTGACTCTCAACTGCCCTAACACTGTGACCCTGTAATACAGCAATGGGTCTCACCTTCCTAGCGCTGCAACCCTTAAATACAGTTCCTCGTGTTGTGGTGAACCCCAATGATAAAATTATTTTGTAGCTACTTCATAACTAATTTTCTACTGTTATGAATCACAATGTAAATATCTGATATGCAAATATCTGATATGTGACACATGTGAAAGGGTCATTCAACCCCCAAAGGGGTCACTACCCACAGGTTCAGAACTCCTGATCAAATGAATGCCCCTTCCTTCCTTCCTTCCTTCCTTCCTTCCTTCCTTCCTTCTTTCCTTTCCTTCTCCCCCTCTCCCTCCTTCCCACCCCATTCTTCCTCCCTTCCTCCCTCTCTCTTTTTCTTTCTTTTCTTTCCTTTTTTTTCTTTCTTCTTCTTCTTCTTTTTTATTTTTTGAGACAGGGTTTCCCTGTGTATTCCTGGCTGTCCTGGAACTCTCTCTGTCAACCACACTGGCCTTGAACTCACAGATCCACCTGCCTCTGCCTTCTCAATGCTGGGATTAAAGAGTTGTGCTACCACCACCTGACCGAATGCTTCTTTTTCTAAGAAAATAAAGAAAATAAATTATATGGTAAATTTTGTGCCCAAAGAAATAAAAATAAGAAATTAGGTGATAGTATAATCATAGTATAATCTTTTACTGTGACGTCTTCAACTACTGTGTATTCCTTGAAGTAAATGAAACTATTTGTTCAGATTTTAACTGCCTTTGTATTTGCTACTTTCTCTTCAGGACAGGGTAACCTTCAGGAGAATAATTGTAAAAAACAATGCCAAAAAGAGGAAGATGTATGAAAGCTTTATTGAGTCACTGCCATTCCTCAAGTCCCTGGAGGTGAGCTGTGATTTTACTGTGCTGCACGGTGGCTGCTTTTTTTGGCAGCCTGCTAAAGTGACCCGGCTGACAAGACAGCCAGCATGCAGGGAACCCCAGTTCCCACATCTCCACACACAGTATGCACTATAGTACTCCCCATTATAATAACAGCAATGCCAATAGTAATTTTAAAGTCTATTCATATTTTTTATGAAAAGAACAGATAGTGACATTAGGTTTTATTGCTATTTCTTTTACTACCTATAGGCACCTTTTATTCTTGTTATTTGAAAATTAGGCTCTTATCTCAACTCTATAGCAAATGTATAGGTGCCATTTATTTGATAGCAGACTTAAGAAATCGAAAGGTCATGAAGAACTACTGGTTATGCCTTTCCATGGAGGAACAACCTAAACACAGAAGGTCCTCAATACCCCATCCCCACCCCCGTTCATCTTTACTGCTTGTTCCCATTTGTCTCTACTTTTGAAGTTTGCATTCCTCAGCCTTGGTTTCTTCTCAACATATACACACTTACTTGGTATATGAGCATTTGAAATATGAATCGCACATATTTCAAATCTCAGGTCCATAAGTACTATCTCCACACCAATAACTCCTAAAATTGTCATCACTGTCAACTACTTATTTAACATCTTCTGTCAGATACCATGTGCACATCTTAACCTGGACCAAATGCCCCAAATCCTCCTCTTTGCTCTTTATCTTAGTTACTTTTCTGTCATTGTGATAAGACATCCTGACCAGGCAATTTATAAAAGAAAGCATTTAATAAGTTGGGCCTTCAGTGTCAGAGTCCATGATGCGGAGCAAGGCATGGCAGCAGAATAGCTGAGAACAACTTACATTTTGATCCACAAATACGAGACAGAATGAACACGGAGAATAGCCTAGTTTTCTGAAAGCTCAAAGCCTGCCCCCAGTGACTCTCTAGAAAGGTCACATTTCCTACTCCTACCTAAACAGTGCCACCAACTGGGACCTTGGGTGTCATTCTCATTGAAATCACGACACTCTTCCTAGAAGTGTCTTAGAAGGCACTGTCTTTGTCATTCTGTCGTCTCAGGGCAGAAACTTAGGATCCTGTTAGCACCCACTCAGCTTTCTCCATACCAGTGGTCAATGTGGTGACCGGCTTCTCTACCCTGTCTTCAGAATATCTGCAGCCTCCGGGCATTTTCCATTACTCTCACCCGCATCCATCACCTTCCGTCTGTGTCATCATTGCCTCTTGTATGGCTTACATCACCACCTACAGTATCCTGTGAGTCCTGGACCATCCCAGCCTTCTGTTCTGAACCCTTCCAGGACACGATAACTTTGAAGGCTGCTGAGGACCTGCCCAGTACCCTGCCCCCAGTCTGTACCTCTCTGACCACATTTCTAGCTGTTCCACAGACATCCTGCCACAGACACTAGCTTCTTGCTGTTGCACAAACAGCTGTCTGCCTAGAACAGCCTCCTGCACCATCTCCATGTCTGCCCCATGAATTAGCAGTGTCTTCTCAATGAGACCCATTGTTTCTTACCTGTCAGGGCAGACACCTATGAAAGAAATGTTACGTTAAGGATTCAGCTTTGCCATAAGTTAATTGCTAAGTGTTGTTTTTTTTCTAGACATTTTATAAAGCCTCAAATTTGAACTCTCTTGAAAGAGATTATAGAGAAATAGATATCAGCATAGTAATCTTTCTAGGGTTGCTGGGTTATGCCTGGGAGAACCTTGACCACATTGTGGAGTGCACAGGCAGTTGATTTTTCTCCAGCAGTTCCTGCCCTCAAATAGAACATATCAGGGAGGCAACCCAGTCAGATTGAGGCATGTGACAAAAAGCAACACAGGAAGGGACTCTGGCAAATTGGAGAACATGTGCTCCCTCAAAGGGAACAGCTGCCATCCCACCACAGCTTTATTGCCACCATATGGAAATTTGGGCTGGGAGTTTCTGAGTCTTCTGGTATTTTATGAAAAACTAGAAATACAAATTTTTCTATTTCAGAATGTAACAACCACACAAGCAAACAATGGTCCGTTTATTTAGCAGTATAGGTTACCCCTTCTAAATGTGTAAAATAGGTATACGATTACCTAATTGGTCTGTGTATTACTCAGGGTTCTCCAGAGGAAAAGAGAATTTATAATTTATATATATATATATATATATATATATATATATATAT